TCTTGAAAGAGGATCTAAGCCACAAGCACCTTGAGCATAGAAGAGGCCTCATGCTTTTGATTAGTAGAAACCTTCAAGAGAAGGCTAAAACCATTAGGCATGAAAGCCTCAATTTCATGCTCAAGCCAACAAGGGGCTCAAAACCACTTTCAAAGTGGTACAACAAAAGAAAGATGGCATGCAATGGTATGCATTTCAGCACTGAAATGGGATGCTAAAGACCTTAAGGCATGCAAACAATGCAAGCATAACATATTAAAGGTCAAAAACATCAAAGCTAGTAAAGAACATTTCACAAGAGGCATGCAATACCAAGCTTAAAAAACCAAACCAGCCCAAAACAGAGCTACAACAGGCCAAAATAGTGGCTAAAATGGACTGAAATGATAGCATGAAAAGCAAGAAACTGCATAAGCAAATGATGGCTCGTAAGCAAGGCACAAAGCTTAACTCTCAAGAGCACTTAAAGGGTGAAAAATATGAAAGCGTGGCAGATATATATGCTCTGAAATAACATGTCAAATGATGCCAAAACATGCAAACATCACATGCACAACATGTTAAAGGCCTCAAAACCCAAAGCTAGGCAAGGCCCTTTACACTATAGCTATACAAAGCAAACCCCAAAAGGCCAAGAACACCCAACCCAGTCCTAAAGCATGTCAAAATAATGCTAAAACATATATGAAGTATAGCCAAGACAAGCTAGCATGAAGGGCCAAAACACCAAATACACTAGGCTAATGGGTAAGATTGCACTACAAGTGCAAGAACCAAGCAAGAGGTGACTCCACCAACCAAAAACAGAGTTATGGCATGTCAAAATAACACCAAAAATGGGTTGAGACTAAGCCAACACATGCTAGAAAAACAAGCTATCTCATTAGGCATGCAAGGCTAACAAAGAGGATTTACACTACAAGTGTAAAAAGCATGCAACAAGTGATCGAACCAACTAAAAACTGAGTTAAAGCATGTTAAATAATGGCCAAAAATGTGCTGGAGTGGAGCCAAAACATGCTAGAATTATAGGCTAAAATAGCAAGCATACAAAGCTAGTGAGCAAGGTTTACACTACAAGTGTAAGGAGCATGCAAGGAGTGGCCAAGCCAGCCACAAACAGAGTTAAAACATGTTAAAAAAGTCACAAAAACATGCTTAGATCTAGTCAAGAGATTGTAGAAAAACATGTTCAAATATGAAGCCAACAACACATGCTAACAAGACAAGAGGAGGGGGGACAACCCCCTCCTATTTGGGGCCTCAAAACCACATTTTCACCATTAAAATTCCTATGGAATTCAGTGGTTTAAAGGCCAAAAAAAGTTGGTTTGAAAGGTGGTGAAAGATGGCTCAAAAGGCCTCACAAGCTAAGGAACAAAAAGGGAGAACAACCCCTTAGCCAAACAAGGCACAAGCCAACACTTTTAGGACTGAAAAAAAAGAGGAAAAACAGAGGTTTTTTTTAGATCAACACCACCCCAAAAACAGCCCCAAAATAGTGTGAAAAGATGGCCAAGCAAGCATGCAAAATAAGCTAAAAGGGAGAGAGTTCTTACCCTTGATGCACAGCTGCAAAATAGGTCCAAATTCTGAGCTAAAACCACCTTAGGAGCTCCAAATGATCCATAAAGAACCTCAGCCCAATGGTGGTTAAGTTTGATCAAGGATCCAATGGTGGTTAAGTTTGATCAAGGATGCCTAGGCAAAGGAGAGGTATATCTCTAAGTATATCTCTTGCATGCACACAAGGTCAAGAGGGAGAGCCAACTAGAGAGAAAAGATGAAATTTAGCTTTGAAATTTCTAGAGAGAGAGGACTTTTTTAGAGAGAGAGGCTCTCAAAATTGCTTCAATGTTCTTCTCTCTAAAACATGAGATATGGCTTCATATATAGCAAAGATGAGCTCGAGGTCAAAAATATATGAATATGGGACAGCTGGAGGTTGCGTGGAACAGCTGGAGGGAAAATATCTTCAAATTCTGAGTTTTCTGGACATTTCTGGCCGATCGGCCACTTCCAGTGGCCGATTGCAAATTTTGCTCTGCAAGTTCGACTTCAAATGGGCATAACTCCTTCATCTAGATTCCTTTACAGGTCATTATTGTGTCTAAAATGAAGCCACAGAAGTAAACTTTCCAATGATGGTAGCCTCACCTCAAAATTCCAAGTGTGCTAAGAGGTATCCATTTTTTAGTGAAGACTGCTCATTTCCGGCTCAATCAGATTGATGCCTAACTTCAACCAACCATAACTCCCCCGTCTGGACTCGACTTTAGGAGATTCTTGAGTGTAAAATGAAGCCCCGGAAGTCTTATTTCCAACGGTGGTGGCGTCATAGCTTAAATCCAAGTATACAAAAGGATAGGCCCGATTTAGCGAGGACTGATCGTCTCTCTCTTAACGATTCATACCCAATTTCTTCTTCAACTAGGTTTCTTCTTTCCACTCCTCTTTTCTTCAACTCCAAACCCCCAAACAAGATGTTTTTGAAGATTTTTTGAAGAGTTCACCTCTCTTTCATGCATTTCCACTTTGTCCTTGCTCAGTTTGCCGAAAAGCGCAACATTTAACAAAATGCGAACGTCGAAACATTGCAGAAACTTTGTTTCAAAAATGTTTTGAAAGAGAGGGTTTTCAAGTCTAAAATCTTTGGTCAAAATAGTTTTCGTCCAAAAATGGGGTGTAAGGTTGGGATTTGACTCTCTTCTTGCCGCAGAAATTGAACCTTTGCACTGCACACCTTATCACCAAGTAAACAATCAATAGCGCCCAAGTTTTAAGGGCGATCAAAAATGGGGTGTCTACAATATGCTAAACCAAATATGAGAAATAACTAAAATATTAGCATTTGATAAATGTCCAACACATGTACATTGACATACACCATTTTTAATATAATCCACCAACATTGATATTCATCATTCAACTAAATTTCATTGGTACTTCCAATTCATTTCATTGCCACAATTTGCCTATTCCGGTAATTCAAATCAACTCATAAGAAAACAATACTTCGATACATCAACAATTTCAAAGAGACTACAACTCATATTAACGACACTTCAATCATCAACATCATTCAGATGCTTATAAAGTTTCGGGACTTTCACCCTGGACACTCCGACCAACTTAATTATCAATGGAGTCCATCCCCTATCTCCTCCCACACAATGGAGTACATCCCCTATCCCCTCCCATACAAATATACATATGCAATGTATTTAAATTAAAGCACATATTCAATGTGTTAATCCAACAGTCATATTCAATGACATATTTCAGGTGATTAGTTTCAATTTTCCCTAATCAACATGCGGTGTCTGCAACACTCAAGACTATCCTCCACCGATAGCCCAAAATAATTATTTCTAAACAGATAATAAAATTATCAACAGATAAATTATCAACATTTTCATAGGTGAGTGATTAATTAATCCAACTACACCATTCAACCACAATTCCATCCAATTTCATAATTTTCAACTCAATTTCACATTTTCATATTTTTCCAAATTAATTATACAAATTAATTTATCACATTAATTAGGGCATTAGCCCTCTTTTCTTCACTATAGCCCTAAGGCTCAATTTCCTCAATTTTACACTACTAATCCCATTTTTTTCAAGGTCTCACATATATATGGAGCTCAACAATTAAAAACCCCCTTTTTATAATTTCAAAACAAACCCTAACTTTTTCAAAATTTTCATAACTCACCATTTAATCAAAATGACTAAAATTTACGTTAAAACTCATAAGAATGAGTAGTTTATCCCTACCTTAATTTTCGGAGCTCAAAGGAGAAGACAAAGAAAACTCAAGGTGCTCCAAACTCAAAAATTTTCGGATCAAAACGTAGTCCACACAAAGCTCTATACTTTTTACAAAGGGACTAGAGTAGATACACCCAAGAACCAAGTGTATTTCTAGAGAGGGAGAGAGTGCAGAGAGAGAGGGGGTCGAAATTAGGGTTCGAGGTAAAAAGGAGATGCAAAAGTGATAAAGAATCGCGCTGCTGCAATCTGATATATTCGAACCTCGCTCGAGCGAAGAAGTGGTCGCTCGAGCGACCAGACACAAAAGGACCTCGCTCGAGCGCAAATGCCACGCTCGAGCGAACAACGCAAAACTTCAGGTCTGCAACCCAGAAGTACGCTCAAGCGCAAGAGTACTCGCTCGAGCAAAGAAAAGCTCGCTCGAGCCAAGAAACACAACCTTCAGGTCTAACAGAAATGCAGACGCACGCTCGAGTGCAAGACTTCTCGCTCAAGCAAAGAGACACGAGACACGAGACACAAGGCTCGCTCGAGCGACAAAGTCCTCACTCGAGCGAAGAGACCAAAAACTGGACAGCAACCATTTCTATCACGGTTAAAAACTTTTAATGACATTTTGATGTCATGATAAATACTATTTGTGACACTATCAAGCGCCATTAAAAAAAGAGTTAGAGACACTTTTAAATGCCATTACACCATCAAGGTTACACACTTTTAGTGACACTTTAATGTCATAATAGACACTATTCGTGACATTATCAAGTGCCATTAAAGAAGACTTGCAATCTAAAAAATGCCACTATATGAATTTTTAATGACATTTGTTATCTTACAATTGATATAAATGACACTAAATCCAATTCATTTGTATCATAAAATGGATATAAATGACATTGAAACTTATTTTAGTGACACTTTGCAATGCTACTATCACTACTACAAAATGCCACTTATATGCTCTTTTCATTGACACTTATAAAAGCTACAACTAAACATGCGTAAATACCTGTAAAAATTAAATCGATTTTATAAACAACTGAATATTAATTGCTACATTTTATATTAATTTGACATCCATTCATCTTGTAATATTTTCATAATAATAAACAAATATTACCACCATAAGATCATCACATCAAAAAAAAAAAAAAAAAAAAAAAAAAAAAAAAAAAAAAATTCAAACCACAATCGTTTTTTTATCTAAAAATATAAATTTATTTATACTGCAATAAAAATCATAATCAAATTTATAAAATATTCTACCACACTAACAAAGTTAAAGCAAAAAAAATTTAAAAGAAAATTATTTCAGCCATAAGTTCTGAAAAGCCATAATGATATCCATCTTCCGGAGAGACAAATTATCAAAACAAATTTAGTTCCCAAATTCCCAACCTCACTTGTATAAATATTCTCGACTAACATTCATAACTTGCGAAATCTGCATCCAAAAGATAAACATATAAAGGTAATTGAAACTATATTAAGTTAATATAAATTTGTTAATGAAATTAGTATTTACGAAAGAAATATATCATAAATGAAGCAGGCCAAGCAACATGAGCTCCAATAACTTGTCCAATTGTTTTGACAAGTCCATATGATCAGATCAAGCTCTTATTAGGTTTGATTGACACTTGACCATGTACCTCCCAATAGTCAGGTCCTAGTTCTTTTCCTTCTACTACTTTAGATGGGCTTGTCATTTTAAGTACTGTAATTGCAACTGTTTCTATTGGCCTAATAATGCTTTTTACAACAACTATATCTCTCATCTGTAAATCAAGATTTAACTACTTAAGTAATTATATATTTACAATTAATAAATAATATTTAAAAAATAAACTAGTACAAAGTGCCAGAGTGAAGATAATCACAATTGAAAGTGATATGCATTTCTCTAATAGATAAGCAAGCCACATGATTTAATCACTTAATTGGTTCACTACAATACAACAAATTATATAAACATAACAACCGTAAGTCTTTAGACCGTATAAAACAATAAAACAATAGCTTAAAAAATCAATCACAACCAAAGGCACCAATCAACAACAATCAAAACCATGCCCATTATCAATATTAGGATCCCCTAAACTCAACAATGTAAATCAAATGTAATCGTGAAAAATGACAATAAACTAATTACTTTCAAGCAAGATTTTGAGGGATTCAGAAAGAGCTCATGCAATAATAAATGATATAAGGTATTGCATGAAGAAGACTATCACACAAATAACTGACTGCACTCATAACTGATGTTATGCACATTACGATATAAAATATGATAATGGATTGTATGGCATGATGAAGTGAAGCTTAAAAGTTGAATTGATTGTTTCAATCTCCACTTAAGCAAAATATAGAAGTTACAATGTTACCAATTTGTCTTTCTTTCTTTTCTTTTAATTTATTTTATCCTATTTCTTGGCATTTCAAACAGATCCATTCGGACTTCTTTGATCCCATTCCATAAGTCTTTTTCTCAATGAGCTTTGTGATAATAAGAGAGTTCCTACTGACATGGTGATAAGGTTGAATATGCCTTATGCAGCTAAAAGAACAAGGCAATTGGAGACTTTGAGCTTTAGAAACAGGTCAAGAAGAAACTAACCTGGATTCTCTCAGCAAGTATATCTAGCCCATAAATTTCTGCAGCTTGAGCACTTGCAACAGCACCAGCATCCCTCAGTTCATTTGTGGCTACCAATTGACCCAAAGTTAATACAGTGAGAACAGGAAGCTTTCCTATAGTATAAAAAAGGTTAAAAAAGATGCCAAAGGGACAACTGTAGATCACCTAATCAGCACTAGCAGTATCATTGACGTTTTCTCTTGTAGCACCCAACTTACTTAAGATGATATCACTTTGAGCAAGTGCCTGCAAACAATAATTTGTCAACTTGTAAAACCAAAAAAATAAAAAAGATAAAAAAAATTAAGGATTTATAACTCATTCAAATAAGAAACTATTTGTTTAGATGAAATATATTTTGAAAAATTATAAAATATGTCCTAAAAATATAAAAGAAAGCATTCCTCAATTATGACCACCAAAAAGTATGGTAACAAGTTGATGGTCCACTTGTTATGACCAGCCAAAATATATTCAGCAATATTATTCTAGGCATCCCCCCCTTTGTAAAATTTAAATTTCTAAGGTAATGAATTAGTCATTTTTAGGAGAGATATCTAGCTCAAATTTACAGTTTAAATTATGTTTATCAGTAGAGAAGTTGATTTTCAAGTTTACTTCAACTTATTTGATTTTCACATCTCAATTTTCACCAGCAAAGATACTGAACCTTACTTCAAAACTAAAGTTCAATCCAACATCAAAATTAAGAGCGGTGGTAACTCTTTAATCAAAACAAAGTTGAAAATTGATGGAAATGGCCTGAAGCAATTGCTTCCTGGTAACTTTGTAATCATAACGAAGCTGAAAGATGATGGAAATGACCTCAAGCAATTGCTTGTCCAGGGAAGGACAAATTTTAAAACCCCAGATTGATGAACAGTTGCAGACATGTGAATGACAAGTTTGAAAAATGCCAGGTATCTTTTTTTTATTATAAATGGTCAATTAAACTCAATTCAGCAATGTTCTCTCCAGCTCAGAAACAAAAAACTAAAATAAACAAGCCTAACCTGTGGATGGCTCAAAACACGTTTCAAGTGCTCTGTTCGAACACCTAGTAGTGCTAGAAGGCAAAGGTTAACAGCCCGCTGAACCTCACCCACTATGTGCAGCTTATGCCAAAGGAGTAAATCGTAGTTGTGATGGATTCTTCCACCTAAAGAATTTTCAATCAGAAGAACTGTTTTATCAGCCAACCAGAGTTCAACAGCCTGCAAAATATGTTTAAGAACAAACAAGAAGGAATGAGTACATCAATTTAAACTAAGAAGCCATTGGATACAATTAGAATCAAATCATTTCTTTCTTGTTCTTTATTTTTTTTTTGGTACAATCATTTCTTTTTGTTTACCCAGCATGTGAACTGAAAAATTCATCTTTTAGAATTCATTTACTACCAAAAATGGAGTCCTCACACTATATGAAGTCATCACAAAAATAATAATTCATAATGTACAAAAAGATGTCAACAAAAACAAAATAGACTATTCAAATGTTATGAAAAATTACAATTCTGTGTGGTGTCCTAAATTCTGCCCACAAGCTGTTAGAGTTACATCATAATCAACCTTGAATGCATCTTCAAACTTGTTGCAAGGAACAGTTTTGCATTGAGAGTAGGCTTTGAGTGCAGCATCCTCACTACAGGCACCTGGTACCCCCTGCATTATTAATTGGATAAGCTGCTATGAATATTAGGCAAAAATTTATAGCCACCAGAAATTCTTTTCCTTGATCCTTTTTTACTTTTTCCTGTGCATTAGGAGCTTGTGACTTGGACAGAAATGCAATACCTTATATGATATGCGCACCTTCCTACTATCATTTAGAGAAACTGAGGAATCAATCACTAATAATGGTTCTGCAATTAAAGATATTGGAAAATAAAATTGAGAAAATTACAAGTTACTAAACCAAAATCAGTTAGACATTAGATACATAAGACAGTTTATCATAAGCAAGCTTCACATAAGTTAAACAAATAGTGAAAAATGACATAAATGGTTAAAAAAGTGTGAATTGAAATGGATAGAAACAAAAGTAGGCAGTTGATCAACCAACTTTTGGGATAAATCTATTAAAGCATCCAACTCAAAACCAATTGGCTATGAGTGGAGGGGCCTCTCAAGTATATTAACCAAGCTTGGGAGGCCTAAAGAGACAATGTGGAAAGAAAACATTCAACTATCAGTGTCCCAGACTGTCAGTAAGTCCCAAAAAACCAAAATCCTCACCCTAGAATTGCTAATGACCAATCAGATTTGGTAGTGTGATGGCAGGGGGAAACCTACTTTTGTGCTTTAAAGGGGATGGAGAAAGATGCAATAGACTTGGTAATGAAGAAGATGGCAAGCCTAGAGGACAAAACATGTAACAGGGGGTGCACAAAGTATATTTATCATTGAGTTCAGCCAATTAGTTTTTGGACTTGTCTTAGCCCTTTCCAGTTGCACTAATAAGGGCCTAATACCTAAGATGTCTTTATCCCAAACTATTTTCTACAGAGCTGGTGACCAATCTTTGCTTACCAATAAGCTATCAAGCCACATCTTCAATCTAATAATCCAAGAGGGCATTGTTTACTTTAATCGTTATGAAATGAAAAGAAGATTTGAAGCACAACTTCAACCCCCACCCACACATCAAACCATCACAATGAGAAAGAATGGCACACCCTCCAAAAAATTATCATATGGGCATAAAATAGCCATAGCCTAATTATATAACAACTCTACTCAAGATAATTTGCAGATTCATACTGAAAAGGCACCCTTCCTGCTGCAACAAACATAAAATAACTAAACTAACACTATATGTTCTATCCATCGATGTCATTTACAACCATTCAATAAATATTGGTGAACCCATTAATCACAACGGCTGATCATGCAAAGCTTAAACAAATACCCAAAAATTCACAAACCACAGTCAATTTGCAGCAATGAGCAAATGAACATGGCTATAAAAATGTAATCGCAAGATTCAAGTGTAATATGCATATATCATGTATACACACCAACGCACACAGAGAGGGAGAGCGACAGGGAATAAACAGAATTACAAGCTGGCATCTTCCCCTACAAGAAGCTTGACTGGAGTCCCAGATCGCGAAGACATGAGATGAACAGCTGAGAGTTCCTTAGGACCGAGAATCTTACCTGGCCACCACAAGCCATTCCGTCACCGAACCCAGACAATTGTTCCAACACTGCAATCAACCACACCTGTTCCCTTATCCGAACTGCCCATCTCTCTCTCTCCCTCTCTAACTGTTCTCTTTTGCCTCTTTGCCCCTAACCCTAGTTAGCTGCTATACAAATTTTGCTCTACAGATTCTGCCTCTTTGCCGTGTTTCCTTATTTCTTTCGTTTCATAATATAACAGGGAGAGTATGAAGTGAATCATGGATAGCTGTGTACAAATTTTTTTTTATTGATTTGTTTATAAATAAATTTGTTCATATTTTAAATAACAAAATAGATATCAATTTTGGTCATTATATTTTTATTTAAATTAATTTTAATTTTTAATAAATTTTGTGTCAATTTGGTAAAATTAATGATACCGTTAGTATTTTTAACGAAAAATGATCGCTGAAAATTAACTCACCAAATTGAGCGAATTTATTATTTTGCCTCTAAAAGAATGATATATTTCACTTACATGCATATTTGTTATTAAAAAAATGCTAAAATTAGGGCAAATTACACTATGAGTCCCTCTATTTTCGCTATTGTGTTCATTTTAATTTTTGTAATATCAATTGAATCAATTTTAACATTAAATTTTTTATTTTGTCTCAAATTGACCCAATTGATAGCATATTATATTGAGTTCAATTTATTTTTTGACATTAGATAGCTTGGAAATTTTTTAACTTAATGACATTTCTCAAAATGCCGTAAATTATTTGTTTGTGACACTTTTCACTTAATGCCATAAGAGTAACTTACACCTACTTAAATTAGTGACATTTTTTAAAAAATGCCATTACTACTAAAGTTTAGTGGCATTTGTTGATAAATGTCGCTAAAATAATTTCTTGTGTCATTCTTTTATAAAATATCATAAAATTGATGCTATTAAGTTACATTTTTGTTGTAGTGATGTGACACTTCTTTATTGAAATGTCACTAGAGCCTTTTATGTTTATGGTTTTGTGACATTTTTCTAAAACATGCCACTAAATATTTTTTTGTGACATTTTTTAAAAACATGCCACTAGTATAGTGCCATTAAAGTGTGTTTTTGTTGTAGAGTGCCCAATACATCCTAAAACTCAAATACAAGGAATTAAAGGACGGAAAGAGACATATACAACAATACTTAACCAAGGAACCCAAGTCCAAAATACAATACATAAAGGGGAAAATCCGGAATCGCTATAGCTTGATTTTTCCAAAAAAATATAATTTTTGTAATAATATCTCAAAATTTTATAATATAAATTATAAAATGATATAATTTTTCTCACCACAAAATATAATATTTTGATCACTACGAAATATACACATTTTCATTCTTTATAAAAATATATAATTTTTTCACCATATAGTACACACCATAAAATCAACTATCAAATATTTATTATAATCTTACATAATAAATAATAACAACTCCGAAGGTGGATACTACTAATCACCTAATTAAAAGGACCAAACAGTTAAACATAAGCCATTAAACAAACTCAAATTAAATTAAATCTAAATCATGGGTCTCACCTATAAGTCAAATATGGTCCAATTATATACCAAAATAATTCTAACAAATTTATCTCAAATTCTGGTCCAAACACCCAAAACTCAAATTTCAAATTTTGCTATAAATTAAACTGAACACCAAACAGTCCGTGAATTTTCATAAACTAAATACTCATCATTTAATTCTAAACTTTTTATCCAACGTGCTAGACTCATATGAGAACGACATATAAAAATTTCATAATTTTCTGAGATCGATAACTATTTTTAAAAAATACGAAACCCAACTATTTTCGCACAGAATTTATACAGCACTGAAATTCGAAAATTTGCTCAATTAAATTATACACTAGCTATTTTTTAAAAAATTCTGGGTCACTACATTCCAATATCCATTATTGTAAAGTCTTGGACTAAAGAATTGTGAACAATAGGTTCTTGATCCAAAGGTCGATGAATTGCAAAAGCTTCCATGACTTGAATAAATGGAGATGGATAGGTGTGGCTAATAAATGCATGAAAATTCTTTTGAGGGTGAACATCATTATCTAACAACTCTTCGTATGCTTGATCTATGTAAGAAAAGGTTTGTTTGGCCATACAAACTGTATCAGCCTTTCCAATGCTCAGATCGTGGAAAATGTTCGAGGCATAGAGAAGAATTTAATGCAGTACAAACGCTGCAATGAGGGATGTCGGTTGCATTTCTAAGAAGATGCAAAGCCCATGCACGTCCTAGGACATGGGTAAAGTGCTTTGATCTACTAATATCACCAAGTAATGGGTATATTAGTGCGGGGGGTAATGTTGGCTGTATAAATTGTAAAAGCCAATCACAATTCAACACGTGGGATGAAGGGGGTAATTTAGGAAGTTAATACAAGTTGTCAATCAAAGTCAGACACGTGTCAGCCTGTATTGTAGACACCCCATTTTGACCGGCCCTAAGACTTGGATGCTGTCTTTTGATTACCCAATGATGACAATTAGAAAGCGTTTCTCACAGAATCCTCAATAAGAGAGATGAAATTTGAACTTTAATTCCAACCTTCACCCTTTTGGCTAGATTGTTTTAAACTACTAAATATTTCATTAATTTAGTATTTTGTAATTTTGCATAATTTTATGTGTTTGTTCATATTTTTGATGTTTTTATATATATTGGTATAAATTATATATTTTAGATATTATATATATTATAAAAGAAAAATAATAAAAAAATTTATTGATGTTGGCATGCCGACATCAATTCACTCAACTGAACATATATATATTATATATTATATAATATGTATATAGATGATATTTATATAATATTTATATTATTATATTTTGGTTTGTTGCTTATATAAAGCAACCAAATGGATAATTTCAAGGGGACCAAAAAAATTGATTCAAGAAGCAAAAAAAAAAACATTTGAGTTAGAGAGAAAATAGAGAAAATATTTCAACCTTGAGCCAAAATACTTCCAAACTTCCATAGCTATTGAGGATTTGAGAACACACTTTTTACACTTGAGGGTGATCAAGAGGGAGTTTGTAAACTAAGGAGTTCATCCTTTCCAGAAACTTGAGAGTGTTGGAATCAAGTTTGTTAATTAAGAGCTTACCTCTCTTTCAAAGGTACAATTTTTCCATACTTCTCTCTTACTATTTTCCTCTCTTTTTCTTGTTTTATACACTGTTTTTGGGCTATTTTTGGAGGCTAAAATATGGTTTAGAAGTCCCAAAAGTTGAGGGGTTAGTCACCCTTCCTTAAACTTGTTTACTAGCTGTAATCTATTCATAGGTGTTCACCTTTGTTAGCTTAATTTCAGCATTATTTTATGCTATTTAGGGGGTTGTTTAATTTATTTCAATAAGTTTGTTTAACATATTATGTTTGTGTTATATTAACCAATTAATCAACTTTGCATAATCACCTCTGCAACCTCCCTCCATTCTTCGTTTATTTTGATTAAAAAGTTGTGAAAAATTAAGATTGTGGTTCAAGTATATGAAAGAAACCTTTCCCAGCTTAATGGTTTAATCTCTTAAGAGGTTCACTACCAAAGGCATAAAAACTTTCTTATATTAAAGTACAATCATTTATTTTTCAGTTTTTTTTTATCACCAGTGTGTTTACTTTTGATGGATTAATTGACCCTTGGAAATCACCAAGGAAAATGTCATTATCACTTATTATCAAGTTTGTATTTCAAGTCATTATCGCTCATTGTGGGTTTATCTAAGTCATTATCACTCTTTTGAGTTTGACTAGTCCTTGTTGCACATCTTGAGTTTGACTTGAAATCCCTTATCGGTTATAAATGAGTTTGACTCTTCCTTTGTAATTTCCCCCGAAGAATTTATCATTAGTGTGTTTACTGTTAAGGGATTAATTGACCCTTGAAAATCACCAAGGAAAATGTCATTATCACTTATTATCAAGTTTGGATTTCAAGTCATTATCGCTCACTTTGGGTTTTTCTAAGTCATTATCATTCTTCTGAGTTTGACTAGTTCTTGTTGCGCATCTTGAGTTTGACTTGAAATCCGTAACTTGTAAATAAGTTTGACTCGTCCTTTGTAATTTCCTCCAAAGAAATAACTTGACACTTATTTTCCTTTATTGCATTTCGGACCTAGTGGATGTAGACTTAATGGATTAAAGAAAAGGAAAGGTAATATAAAAGAGGCTAATAAAATTGAGTTTAAAATGAATCAACCAACATAAAGAACTAATATGATTGATTGAATTAAGTCGGACGTTATACCGAATTTATTGTGTCAAGGCTTGTGTTACATTAGTCCATAATGTTTTGATGAATCTTGAAGTGTCTCTACTTCCTATCTTGAATTTGCTTTATGATAGGAGGGAGGGGTGGTCATTATGCATTACATTTATTAATCTTTGTCCTATCGTATCCAAAATCATCTTGCAAATCAACTTGCAACCATAGATGGTTTAAGAACCGAGCTCGCTCTTCTCTTGAGTATTTTCCATGATAGAGAAGAGTAGAAGAGACAAATATGGCCAGGAATACCCTGTCTACATGTGTTGCACTGTTTCACCTCATGAACAAAAAAAAAAAAAAAGATTTCTACAAAGAAAACAAGGTATGCTTGGATTTATTTGGGGCTCAACTAAGTCTTGTTTTGGGTCAGCAAGATTCCAATAAATTGCAAACAATACACTTTTGGTCGAAAGCAATGATAAGGTGAAACAAAGCAAATCTCAACAAGGCAGGCAGAGTAATTCCTGAGGAGCATCGCGTGATCATTACATATTATTTGTTGTAATAAATTAGACGGCCCCTTTTCATTATTATTTATTCGGATTTGTAATATTTATTTATTTGGACACTTGGACATTCGAACCCTCATTCGCGAGGACAAATATGTAATAATGTATATGTCTTCCAACCCCACGTCTTTCTCCCTTTTATTTACCAGCTTATGATGGTTAGTTTAAAGACATCATGTTTAATTTAGCATACTCATGTTTGCAACCACTTGTATTGCATGCATAAAAATTCGGCTCATCATATTATTCAAATGTCAAATTCAAACTCTTTACTTGAATGCGTACGCGCTATCACATGCCTTGAATTGACTCGCATGCCATGCTAGTAGCCGAGCTTATTAATTGCATATTGTATGTGTTGCATTAGCCATATTACATAGTTAGG